ATAAAATTGAAGTGCCTATAATACAAGGTAATGAACTTTTTTTTATTATTTAAAATGCTCAATTCTTGTCCTCTGCTTTGGCAATTATTCTACATAACGGGTCAGAGCTCATCTCCCACTGTGGAATGACCCTCTTATATATATATAAGACCCAGATTCTGTACATGACCTAGATTTTTGTATTAACTTTCATTTAAAGTTCAGGGGTAAATGTGCAGGTTTGTTAATATAGGTAAATTGCATGTCACAGGGGTTTGATTTACAAATTATTTTGCTACCCAGATAGTAAGTACCCAATAGGTAGTTTTTTGGTCCTCACCCACTTCCCTCCCTTTACCCTCAAGTACTACTCAGTTTTTAGCTCCCATCTATAAGTAAGAACATGTGGTATTTGGCTTTCTGTTTCTGTGCCAGTTGGCTTAGGATAATGGTCTCCGGCTCTATCCATATTGCTACAAAGGATATCAGTTTATTCTTTTTTATGGCTGTGTTGTATTTCATGGTGTATTTGCATCATATTTTCTTTATCCAGTCTACAGCTGATTGGCATTTAGTTTGATCCCATGTCTTTGTTATTATAAATACTGCCGTGATGAGCATGCATGTGCACGTCTCTTTATGGTAGAATGATTTATATTTCTTTGGATATATATTGAATAATAGAATTGCTGGGTAGAATGATAATTCTGCTTTGAGTTCTTTGAGAAATTACTAAACTGTTTTCCACAGTTGCTGAATGAATTTAATTTTCCACCAGCGGTGTATAAGTATTCTCTTTTCCCTACAACTTTACTAGTATCTGTTATTTTTTTACTTTTTAATGATAGTCATTTTGACTAGTATGAGAGGATATCTCATTGTGGTTTTGATTTGCATTTATCTAAATATGGTGTGGAGCATTTAAAAAATATGCTTACTGGCTATGTGTCTGTCTTATCTTACAGAGTTTTTATAATTTTAGGTTGGACATTTAAGTCTTTAATCCATCTTGAATTGATTTTGGGTTATAGTGTAAGGAAGGTGTCCAGTTTTAATATTCTACATATAGCTAATCAGTTGTCCCAGTATCATTCATTGACTAGAGAGGCCTTTTCCCCATTGATTGTTTTTGTTGACTGTGAAAAATCAGATGGTTGTAAGTGTGGGACATTATTTCTGGCCTCTGTATTCTGTTTCATTAGTCTATGTGTCTGTTTTTGCACAAGTACCATGCTGTTTCGGTTACTGTACCCTTGTTGTATAGTTTGAAGCCAGATAATGTGATGCCTCCTGCTTTGTTCTTTTTGCTTAGGATTGCCTTGGCTATTCAGGCTTTTTTTTTGGTTTCATATGAATTTTAAAATAATTTTTTTTGAATTCTGTGAATAATTTCATTGTTAATTTGATAGGAATATCGCTGAATCTGCAGTTGGTTTGGTCAGTGTGGCCATTTAAAAAATATTGATTCTTCCTATCCATGAGCATGGAATGTTTTTCCATTTGTTTGTATCATCTTTGATTTTTTTGTGCAGTGTTTTATATTTCTCATTGTAGAGTTTTTTTCCCCTTCCTGGTTAGCTGTATTCCTAGGTATTTTTTTCTTTTTGTGGCTATAGTGACTCAGAATACATTCTTGATTTTGCTCTCAGTGTAGATGTTGTTGGTATATAGGAATGCAACTGATTTTTGTACATTGATTTTGTATCCTGAAACTTCATGGAAGTGGTTTATCAGATCTCAGAGCTTTTGCACAGAACCTGTGGATTTTCCTAGGTACAGAATCATATCGTCTAAAACAGGGATAGTTTGATTTCCTCCCTTCCTATTTGGATGCCTTTTATTTTTTTTTCTCTTGCCTGATTGTTCTGGCTAGGACTTTCAGCACTATATCAAATAGGAGTGGTGACAGAGTTATCTTTGTCTTGTTCTGATTTTTAAGGAGAATGTTTCCAGGTTTTGCTCATTCAGTATAATATTGGCTGTGGGGTTGTTATAGATGGCCCTTATTATTTAAGGCATATTCCTTCAGTACCTAGTTTGTTGAAAAATTTTAACATGAAGGAATGTTGAATTTTATCAAAAACTTTTCTGCACCTATTGAGATAATTATGTGGTTTTTGTTTTCAGTTATTTTTATATCATTAATCATATTTACTGATTTGCATATGTGGAAGCCACATTACATTCCAGGGATAAAGTGTACTTGGTTGTGGTAGATTAGCATTTTGATGTGCTGCTAGATATGGATTGCTAGTATCTTGTTGAAGATTTTCGCATCTATGTTTTCCCCATGGAAAACATTCCCCATGGAATTGTCCTGGAACACTTGCCAGAACATCAACTGAATGTACACATATATTTGTTTATAGAATTTCAACTTTCTCTTTTCCATTTAGTTTCTATTGCCTGAAGTTTTCTTTTTTCATCGTGTCTCTGCCAGATTTGGTGACAGTATGATTCTGGCCTCACAGAATGAGTTATAGAGGAGTCTTTCCTCCTCAAACTTTTGGAATGCTTTCAGTAGGTATGGTTCCAGCTCTTCATTATACATCTGATAATATTTGGCCATAAATCTGTCAGTCTAGGGCTTTCCTGATTGGTAGACTTATTACTGATTCAATTTCAGAACTTGTTATTGGTCTGTTCAGGGTTTCATTCATCCTGGTTCAATCTTGGGAGGTGGTATATTTCCAGAAGTTTATTGATTTCTTCTAGGTTTTCTAGTTTGTGTGCATAGAGGTATTCATGGTACTCCTCGAGGGGTTTTTGTATTTCTTTGGGGTCAGTGGTAACATATGCTTCATCATTTCTGATTGTGTTCCTTTGGATTTTCTCTTTTTTTCTTTATTAGTCTAGCTAATGGTCTATCTTTCTCATTAATTCTTTCAAAGAACAAATTTGTGGATTCATTGGCCTTTTGTATATATTTTTTTCACTTCCCAGTTTTCTTCAGTTTAGCTCTGATTTTGGTTATTTCTTGTCTTCTGCTAGCTTTAGGGTTCATTTCCTCTTGTTTCTCTAGTTCCTTTAGTTGTAATATTAAATTATTAATTTGAGATCTTATCAACTTTTTGATGTAGATATTTAGTGTTATAAACTTCCCTCCTACAATGCATTAGCTGTGTCCCAGATATTCTAGTATGTTGTATATTTGTTCTCATTAGTTTCAAAGGATTTCTTGATTTATGCCTTAATTTTATTATTTATCCAGATGTCATTCTCAAGCAGGTTGTTTAATTTCCATATAATTTTATAGTTTTGCATTTGTTTGAATGCAAATATAATTCAATGGTATAGAAATCAGTACTATTAGTAGTATTATACTGTGGTCTGAGAGCGGGCATGGTATGGTTTTCATTTTTAAAAAATCAGTATTTTATGTCCAATCATGAGGTAAATTTTACAGTATGTGGATGTGCAGATAAGAATAATGCATGTTTTGTTGTTTTGAGGTGGAGAGTTCTGTAGATATTTATTAGGTCCATTAGGTCAGGTGTTGAGTTCAAGTTCTGAATATCTGTTAGTTTTCTGCCTCCATGATCCTGAGGCCTCCTCAGCCCTGCTGAACTGTGAGTCAATTAAACATCTTTCCTTATAAATAACCTACTCCATAATGAGATCAGTATGCTAAAACATAGCAAGAGTCATCTTTATTCTGGTTTACAACAGGTTCCTCATGTCCATCTGAGACCATGTTATCCTGGACTTCTTTGTCCATATCACTATCAGTGCGTTGGTCAAAGCCATTCACCAAGTCTCTAGAAAGTTCCAAACATTCCCACATCTTCCTGTCTTCTTCTGAGCCCTCCAAACTGTTCCAGCCTCTGCTTGTCACCCAGTTCCAAATACACTTCTGCATTTTTGGGTATCTTTACAGCAGCGTCCTGCTCTCTGTAGCACCAGTTTACTGTTCTTATGATGCTAATAAAGACATACCCAGGACAAGGTTATGTATAAAGGAAACAGGTTTAATTGACTCACAGTTCAGCAGGGCTGAGGAGACCTCAGGAAACTTACAATCATGGTGGAAGGGGAAGCAAACATGTCCTTCTTCACATGGTGACAGCAAGGAGAAGTGCAGAGCAAAGAAGGGGCAATACCCCTTATAAAACTATCAGATCTCATCAGAATTCACTATCATGAGAACAATGTGGAAGTAACTGCCCCCATGATTCCATTACCACCCACAGGGTCCCTATCATGACACATGGGGATTATGAGAACTACAGTTCAACATAAGATTTGATTGGGGACACAGCCAAATCATATGAGGCATTGTCCCCATAATCTTTTCATAAAACATCATCAATGATTTCAGCATTCTTCCAAAGCAACAGTGATTTCACCATTCTTCCACCCAGGCTTCACCATAAATTTAATGTTCGTTCTTGCTTCAACTTATAAACTTCATGTTGCTCTGATTGAGCCCTTTTCAAACTGATGTCTTATCCTTCTTAGTGCCTCAAACTGGATCTTTTTCAGACATATTGTCAAACTGGATCTTGTTCAGACATATTATCACAAGTTAGCATGAGTTTTTCTTGATACAGAAGAAATTTGAAATACATGTAGTTTTAATATGCATTTTTTTGAAACAGGAATTCATCTGGTTTGTACATTGCATTTCAGTTGTATGTTTTATTTTATAAAACTAGTTAGAAGAGGTTATATCTGTGCAAAATCACCTTAAAAAGTAGAATAGTTCATGAAACAAGAATAACAAATCCAAATAGAAGATAATGGTTCAGTCAGAGTGGGGATTGATCAGTAAAAGTGGCTTAGTAAACAAAAATCAGATTGACAGAATGTTTTACCATGTCCTTGTGGAGGATGTAGGTTTATCAGGATAGTTTGGTTTATGATAACTATGAAATTAATCCAACTAAATCCTCTGGTCAACTCAGCAACCTTGTACTTCTGACTTTACCTCACTAATATATTTGCCCATGAATCAGCCTATTTGAGAAGATTTACTGATCAATGAACAAGAACTTGTTTATGTCTATAAAGTCTATAGCTTTGTGCTCGCTTTGGCAGCACATATACTAAAGTAGGAAGGATACAGAGATTAGCATGGCCTCTACACAAGGATGACATGCAAATCCATGAAGTGTTCCATATTTTTATCATATTTATAATCATTCCAAAATTTTTATATTTCTAACCCTTTATTTGATAAAACTTCCATATTTTAAATCCTACAGAAATGCAAAATGAAATCAAAGTATCCTTTATCTCAAACCAACATTCACACATTGAATTATTATCAAAGAAACTTTTTTAACATGCTATTTTGTGGAGAAATATTTGCACATATTTTTTAGTCAATAAATGTATTTCTACATGTAAAAAAAAAGTCTATAGCTTTATTTTACATTATAAAGTAGCATTTGTATTATATTTAAAGAAAAATTTTAAAGTTTTTTTAAATGTCATGATTAATCACTAATTATTAGGAAAAAACAAATCAAAACCACAATACAATATCATCTCGCAACCATTAGGATGGCAACCATAAAAAAATAAATAACAAATGTTGGTGAAAGTGTGGAAGAAATAGAAATTCTTGTGTATTTTTGGTGTGAATTTTCATAGTAGCCACTATGAAAGATAGTGTAGCAATATAGAAATATTAAAAATAGAATTCCTATATGTTTCAGCAATTATACCTCTGGATATATATCTATAAGAGTTGAAAGCAGAGTCTCAAACAGATATTTGCACACTCATGTTCATAGCAGCATTATTCACAACAGCCAAAAGGTGGAGGCTGCCCAAGTGAACATTGATGGATGGATGAACAAAATATTGTTTTGATTGGTCAGTTTGCCAGATAAAAAGAAAAAACTGGAGAAATACATATATCCTTCATTGATATATCAAGAAAAGATAACATATTTTCACAAAGAATATATATGGGCTATGACAGCTAGATATTACTAAGTAATTATACATATCTATATAATTACCACATATATATGGGAAGTTGCTATTTTGGTGGGTATAGAGTTTCATTCTTACAAGCTAAAAAGGTTCTGGAGATCGATTGCACAACAGTGTGAATATACTTTAAATGACTGAACTGTACACTTAAAAATGGTTATGATAGTAACTTTTAAAGTTTTGTGTTTTTAAATCACATTTAGAAAATCTAGGGCTGGAAGAAACATTGTCAGCAAAGAAGACAGTCCTGGGAATCCAAACACCTTTCTCTGCCACCAGTTAGTGGAAAAGACCTTAAAGAAAAGATAATATCTTTTCAAAAAGAATAAAGATAAGACTCAAGAGTCAAATTACTAAATGTAGTCAAACAACTGAACCAAAACTCATTTTTTTCCGAGTGCTAGTCTGAGACTTTGTTTCACACACTGCTGTCCTCTTAAGCCTTCAATAACACACATATCCTCTTTGAGGTGCAAAATTCATGACCTGCAGAGGTTTACAAAATGTAATAGGTTCCCTTGTTTGGGACAGGGTGAGAATTATAAATGCACAAGTCAATGATATTAAAAAGAAATGGCAGCATGACTTTAAAAATAATGAAGATGATAAATTGTATAACATATGTGTATTTTTTAGTGTTCCGAAATACTGAATTTTTAATAGTCACTATAGAGTATAGTTTATACTTACTTGATTTGACTTGTTATTGTTGGTTAATTGTTGTTAGTGTTGGTGGTTGCTAGTGATTATGAGATTTTCACATGAATTTTACACTACATCATGATTACTTGTCCTGAGTGTGGAAATATCAACATGGGTCCAGATTGTGTTTAAATTTTGAAATTGTTGAAAGCTCATTATTCAAGTTAAGGTATGTAAACAGCTGTTGCCATGAGATAACAGATTATGCTTTTGGTTAAAATTCTGGAAATCACCCCACAGTTTTTGTTTACTTTTTAATAACCAGAGGCTTATATTTAAAATTGACAAAAAATTAGCAAGTGCATTTTAAATTTAGTAAATTTAGAAGTAACTAACGACAAGTACAACTATGAATTCATACTGTCTCCACTACTAGACATGTTTTATGACTGTCTGAAAGTATCTAAAACAGATTTTATGAATTTTCATATAAAATTATATTTCTGCTTTAGCAATCAGTCATGGTAATAAAACAATTTGAGAACAAGAGTCTTCATATTTGAGTAGCAGAAAAATACAAGAGAAATCTTTGATCCCTGATAGAGTACTAAACAAAATATAATTTAATTTTACATATATACACACATATGCACACACTTTTTCTATTTTTTTTTCCCACAATGGATACCATGGATAAATTCTCCATAGTGAGGTGGTTGAGTTGAAGTACAGATCTGTTTTTAATGTTTCTAGTATTGTTAGATTGGTTTCCAAAACAACCTTATTATTTTACATTTTCAAGAATAACCTTTGCTCACATTTTAATTAACGATATATAATATATATCAGTGTTAGCTATCTTGATTTAATTTCATTACCTGTATTATTTTGGCTTATTCCTTTTTAAATTTCTTTGGATGAGTGTTAATTCTTTTGAACATCATTGTGTTTATATGACAGCTTTGTTTTCAATGCTATTTTTTTTTTTTTTTTTTTTTTTTTTTTTTTTTGTTTTTTTTTTTTTTTTTTTTTTTTTTTTTTTAATGAGTACTGCTTTGGCTCGCATGTTTTGGTATAAGTTGTTTCTCCGTTTGTGGCTTTCTAGGTGGTTTTAACCTCAGTTTTGCATACTTCTTTGATACAAACCTGATCTATGAATATGTTTTTACATTTTCAAGTAAGCAACTCTTTGATCATTTTTTATAATGATTTCTTTTTTAATGAGATTATAACTAATGAATGGTATATATCAGTTAGGTATTACTAAGAAGTCAGACTAAAGAACAACAAGACAAACTTAAGTAGAATGAGACAAATCATAATGATAATAAATAGAACCATCTGCTGATTACTTAGAAGACACTAGCAAAACAGATAAGTTTTAGCTATTCTTTCAAGAGTATGTAGGAGAAATCATTTGCAGACAACTTTTTAAAAAAAATACTTAATCACGGATACAAAATAAATGGAAAACCAGATGAGAAACTATTTTGCATAAATATTTGAAGTAAAATTTGAAATTGTTTAAAATGATCTTATACAATAGAATTTAACTCCATGACACTGGAGTTTTCTTTTTTCTTTCTGACTTTTTTCCTCTGTTTTAATTTTTGTATGCCTAGTACCTAGAACAATACTGAAAGACTGAATGGTTAATACCCTTCCTCTGCAATTGCTTTACCTACTTTGTTATTTCATTTTTCTTGTACTCAAGAGAAATGTATGTATACACCAATTTCCCGTTAATTTTACTGCACAAATTTATTCATAATACCCTCTTATCTGTTTAGGATCCGTAATAACTCTAATATGTCCCCTTTTTAAAATTTGTCATTGAAATTTTATACTTTCTCTATTTTTACTTTGTCTTACTATAAATTATTAATTTTATTTATTTCAAATAACCAATTTTTAATTCTCTTTATTGTATAGTAATTTATTTCATTAATCTCTTCTTTTTTATATTTCTTGCTCTTATCTTTAAGCTTAATTTGTTTTCACCTTTTAACTTTTTAGGGCATTGTGAACTGTATGCTCAGATTATTTCTTTTGATTCTTTTTATAACATGCAGTCAAAGATACCATTTTTTTCTCATAAAAATAGCTTTAAATGCATTTTACAAGATTTTATATCCTCTATTTTCATCTTATTCCAACAACTCTTTCTATATGCAGTAATATCATCAGACCTTACCTGGGTCAATTTTTCTCAGCACTTTTTTTTCTTTCTTTATCTTTTTTCNAAGCTACCCATATAGATTTTCTCAGCATTTTAACCTAGGACTTGATTAACACTTTCTTTTTTTTCTCCCTATTTTTTTTTCTTTTTTATTATACTTTAAGTTCTGGGGTACATGTGCAGGTCATGCAGGATTGTTACATAGTTGTACACATGCCATGGTGGTTTACTGCATCCATCCCCCATCACCTACATTAGATATTTCTCCTAATATTATCTATCCCCAAACATCCCACCCCCAGCTATCCCTCCCCTAGATCTCCCACCCGCTAACAGGCCCCAGTGTGTGATGTTCCCCTCCCTGTGTCCATGTTTTCTCATTGTTCAACACTCACTTATCAGTGAGAACATGCAGTGTTGGATTTTCTGTTCTTGTGTCAGTTTGCTGAGAATGATGATTTCCAGCTTTATCCATGTCCCTGCAAAGGACATGAACTCATTCTTTTTTATGGTATTCCATAGTATATACATGCCACATTTTCTTTATCCAGTCTATCATTGATGGGCATTTGAGTTAGTTCCAAGTCTTTGCTATTGTAAGCAGTGCTGCAGTGAACATACATGTGCATGTGTCTTTATAATAGAATGATTTATAATCCTTTGGGCGTATACCCAGTAATGGGATTGCTAGGTCAAACGGTATTTCTACTTTTGGATCCTTGAGGAATCACCACACTGTCCCCGACAATGGTTGAACTAATTTACACTCCCACCAACAGTATAAAAGTGTTCCTATTTCTCTACATCCTCTTCAGCATCTGTTGTCTCCAGATGTTTTAATGATTGCCATTCTAACTGGAGTAAGATGGTATCTCAATGTGGTTTTGACTTGCATTTCTCTAATGATCAGTGATGATAAGCATTTTTTCATATGTTTGTTGAGCTCATAAATGTCTTCTTTTGAAAAGTGTCTGTTCATGTCCTTCACCCACTTTTGAATGGGTTATTTTCTTGCAAATCTGATTTAGTTCTTTGTAGATTCTGGATATTAGCCCTTTAATATCCCATTTGTCTATTTTGGCTTTTGTTGCCATTGCTTTTTGCTGTTTTAGTCATGAAGTCCTTGCCTATGCCTATGTCCTGAATGGTATTGCCTAGGTTTTCTTCTAGGATTTTTATGGTGTTAGGTCTTATGTTTAAATCTTTAATCCATCTGGAGTTAATTTTTGTGTAAGATGTCAGGAAGGGGTAGCCATGTGTTTCAGCTTTCTGCACATGTCTAGCCAGTTTCTAACTGCAGTTTCAGGTCTTTCATAGATTAAGAAGCATTGTTCTTTTTTCCTGTAAGTTTGTATGTCATT